TGCCAGCTTCGACATTGCATTGGTGGCTCATGTTCATCTTGTGGTCAATCATGACCCCCAAGTCCCTTTTAGCCATGGTACTACCAAGCATAGCACTGCCAAGCCTATAAGTGTGATGTGGGGTTTTTTCCCTGAGGTGAAGTACCTTGCATTTTTCCGCACTGAATGTCATCAGGTTTTTATCCGCCCACTTTCTAAACCTATCAAGGTTAGCCTGGATCACTAGCCTATCCTCAGGTGTAGACGCTCTACCCCAAAAATTGGTGTCATTGGCAAACTTGGCCAGTCTGCTTCTAACACCAGTGTCCACATCATTAATGAAGACATTAAAGAATACAGGTCCAAGGACAGAGCCTTGGGGACACCACTGGTCATGGAATGTGTCACGGCGCAGCCGTGATCTCCCCTAGCGCCCTGTACCGTGCCAAGTTAGCATTAAAGCGCCCTCGTTCTCGCCCGCCACGTCTTGATCTTTTATATGTATAAGGGAGGCTGCCTTTTGTCCCCTTGAACACAGTGCTCTGATGTATCCTGGCCCCTGTTCTGTATTGTGACTTGGTACACCCCAGCCTTATGGGCTGTGTGTGGCTCCAATTGCCCCTGTACCACGCCCCAAACCTCGCAGATATCCCAGACGTTGTTTGGTCTGTCTAGCTCTCTGAACCCTCTCTGGTGCTTGGGCTCTCCGCGGCCCTTGTCTTGCAACCTTGCAACCCCACAGGCACTCTGGCTTATCTCGCAACCTTGTGCCCCACAGGCCCTCTGGCACTCATCAATCGCTGCCCCCTTTGCTCTGGGGCACTTCTCACGCTGCCCCCTTTGCTCTGGGGTTACCACAGTCTTGGGGCTCAGGTGGCCATGCCTGGCCCCAACTCTCCTCCTTGGGGTCTCAAACCCCCTGCAGGGCTCAGGCGGCCTCAGCCTTACCTGGCCTCCGATTCTCTGCTCTGCTTCTCAGGGCTGGGGTCAGTGCACCCCCAAATGCTGTGCCCTCTCTGGCGCCGGGGTCCCCACACTACCATGGAGCCCCTATGAGGCCTCCTCCAACCCCTAATAGCCTCACCCGATCCTCCGGTTGTAAACAGTAAACCGTCAACACAAACTCAAGCCCCTTGGCTACAACACAAATTAAGCCATCTGGCTATAACCACATTCAAGCCTGTCACAGGGTGTCTCCCTGTCTCACCCATAACAACTGCCCATGCATCCTGGCCTCTTCCCTTTCCTCGCTCTGGCAGAGTTCCCACCTCTATGGCTGCTGGCAGAGGACTCCCTGTCTGGGTTTAAATGGGAGCCAGGCCCTGCCCCTTCCAGTCAGCTGACTCATCGGTTTCCCTGGCAACCCACAGCTGTGCTTCTTTATTACTACTGTGGCTGCCCTGGTGACCAGCAGCTGGGCTCCTTACTTGCTGCTAGGGCTCTCTCTCTCTAGCTGTTTCTGCTCTAAGAAGCAGGGCAGCTATGTGCTCTGCAACAGAATGCCATGATGGTTCACTTCTGTCAACTACCACTCTCTGGGTCCGACCTTGGAGTCAATTCCCCAGCCATCAGACTGTGATGTAGCCAAGGCCTCAGTTGGCCAATTTTTCCATGATGAGATCATGGGACACCAGATCAAAGGCTTTTTTTTTAAGTCCATATATATGACGTTGGTCTCTTCTCCCTTGTCCAGGTGATATGTCACCTGGTCATAAAAGGAAATGAGATTGGTCAGGCAAGACGAAGATCATTTAGTCATCCTCAGTTCTGTTAAATGTCTGCCATATTATTTTGTATGGAACTAACTTGTTAATCAGAATGTCAGGTGCCACAAAGTCAAACACCTGTTTTTTCCACAAGGCCCATTAGCATTACTATCTCCATCCTTTAGCTCTCTGTTGCCACCATCCTGTATCAGCCACTCTATTGTGTTGCCTGAGACAAATTTTTCTTTGAGTTTTTGACTTTTTTGCATGGTAAGAAATTTAAACCAACTTGCTAATGTCAGTATATTATTGTGTGATTATTTCTTTCAAACAGGGCTTGCGACAGCCATCTCATGACTCAGAAGAGGGGGAGGTAGCTGCTTTTTGTACTCAGTGGAGAAAAAACCTATTATGGCATAGAACCAAAGAAGCTTTAAACCCAGACAGGGATGAATTAGGACTTCGCAAAACACGTGCAGAGCTTGAACCCACTCTTACAGCCCTGGTTCAAGGACCATCATCTCAATGTTAAAAACACTCCTACCTACTCCTAACCTGTAAAAAAAATCCTGGTATGGCTAGCGTTCCCCAGGAACAGGAAGAGATCTCTGCCCGTGGCAAAGAATTGACAGCCTGGAAGGGTAGGGCTCTCGTCACTGACCTCCTTTGAAACTTCCTGTGCTCACCAGAAACAGGACACTATACACTAGAAGACTGTACATATTTTCCAAGGGCCATGAAGAATTAATCTCCCCCTATGTTGTCTTACCTAAACAGTTGGCTTGTAAATGGAAACTCTTTCATTCAGAGACCCTTCACACCACAATGTGTTGATTCAAATTCTAGACCTGTGGATGAATACACAGGTGTTGATGTTAACTTAACAATGTTCATGAGAAATTACTTGTCCATCCTGGCTACATGGCTTTGTGCACCTGCTTGACACTGAATATGAGACTATACCTCAGAGGAACCCTCTCAGCTTTGATCTGTTTACTCCCTAAGAAAACAACCTCTGGGTGTGTCTATGCTGCGTAGTAAAGTGTCACCGTCTATATGTGCGCAGCATTTACTGTGCAGTATATTAGTCTACTGCATGGTTGTGTACTACCTGTAAATACAGGTAGTAGATTAACCATGCAATAACTATTGCAAAGTAGTGCACATGTAGACTACTGACTGGGAACAAATTGCTCCCAGTTAGCCCAGACAGCAGGAGGCAGGGAAACTGTCTCTTGCCCCAGGCAGATGCTTTCCAACCCCATGTCTCAATTGCCAGATTGGTGCATGGGGCTGGGAAAATGTCCTCTCCCCCAGCTGCTGCTTCCCAGACTCATTCTCTGATTGGCAGATTGGGGTATGGGGCTGGGAATATGTCCCCTCCCAAGGTGGAGTCTCCAATCCACCTGCCCCCCCCACACTTCAGAGCAGCTGGGGAAACCCCAGAATGGACCTCCCTCACCTGCCTTCTCCCCCTCCCATCCTGAGTCAGAACAGGAACTGGGAGAGAGGGGACAGAGCTAGGAGAGGAGGCTGCAGAGATGCAGCTTCTCTTCCTGGATTGGATCCAAATCCAATCTCCCACCCACACGATACAACAGCTAACCTCTGTTGGGTTGGAAGGATCAGTCTAACACAGGGGCAGGCAAAATACTGCCCGTGGGCCAGATTCAGCCTGCCAATCTATCCGGCCCATGGAGCCCCTAAAAAAGTTTAGAAAACTAATATTTATCTGCTCCTGGCTGCCTGTCAAAATGACAGGAGCCAGGGGCAGTAGGACCCAGGGGAAGCTGGTAGCAGGACCCCGTAGCCCAGCAGTATGGCTTGCCTAGCCTTACAGAGGCTTCTGGCCTGGGACCCTGGGGCTGTTCCCACCTCCCTGTACCAGAAAAGGAAACTCAGATAAGAACATGGAGGGAGGGGGCAGGGAGGAAGGGGAGGACTGCAGGCGATCACCCCAGTCCTCGGGCTTGGGCTAGGCTGGCTCCTGCTGAGTCCTGTGGTTGCAGCCATGCAGCCAGGAACCACATGGTGCTGGAGCAGCCAGCAGTGGGCAGGAAAGCAGGGAAATGGCAGGTGGGGGGGCTCCTGCTGCCGTGCACATCCTGGTGGAGGCCCAGGGAGCAAGTGCCCCTGGATCTGTGCACAAGGCGGAGACAGCTGCTGCTGCGTACTGCACTTTGCAACCCGCTGAAACTGCCTCAGGAGTGGTGTGACACCATGTGCCTGCTGCTGCTGGGCTGCACCGCACCCCCTGCCTGCCCGGCAGAGGGATGCACGTGGCACTGCATTGCTCTGGAGGCTGCAGCTGGGTGCAAAGCGCAGCATGTAGTGGCAATCGCCTCCACCCTGCATACAGATCTGGGGGACACGTGCCCCCCAGGCCTCCGGTGGGGTGAGCACAATGGTGGGAGCCCCCCGTGCCCCTGGATGAGCTGCTCGGGCTCCGATTATCCCATTACCAAGCCCGGCTGGGGCCCCGTTCATCCCATCCCCTGCCCCTGTAGGTGTCCCATTCCCTGCCTCATCACTGGAGCCTCAATCTGCGCCCCCATGGACCTTCCCCCCCCCCTTCCCCCATAGGCTAACCTGCTGGGCAGGGGAGAGCATGTGCACATGTGTGCATGCACTCAACCCCCACAAATAATTTTTCTTCCTCCACCTATGCTAACATGGCACAGGTAAAGCAAGGGGACAAGGGAATGGTTAGTTTCCTGCCACTGCAAAGAAAGAAGGAATGTCAACTACAGTCAAGAGAACCAAAAGAACTGGAGAGAGACCTTGCAAATTGGCTAAATGGGCCTCTGTTTTCATAATGTCACTATGCAGTAGGATGGCTTTAACCACTGAGTCACAAAGATCTGACTTAGAGAAATCATGGTACACAGATTCCTTAGCAGCCAGTTTGGGTGGCCTGGACCCCTTCTGGATTACACTACAGTTGCTTCTTAATGGTCAATGAAACACAGAGCATTTGAGGATGAAAAGCCCTGGAGAAGGACTAAAGCTTCTTTTGGGGGGTCCTAACTCCTGATGTGGACATACAGAGAAAGGTTAGATTCATAGATGGGCTGAGATTGGAGGGAGTGGATGGGACTCTTTCTCAACATGCTTAAATTAAGGCAGAAAAGTAAGGGTGAAATTAGTGTATAATTCTTGTAAAATACCAGACCTATCCATTTCAGACCCCATAGATTCTGTAATCCTGCTTGTGTTGTATATATTCCATTACAGCACCATTGTGTATTTCTTCTCTGCATACTCTCACCAGTATGCATGTTTGGAGGGTTGGGAACTATCTGTGCCCGTATCTACTCTTTGTAGGTAAAGCATTCAAATATAAATGATCAAGTAGACCAGATCTTTGTGTCCACATGCCCACCCATCCAAAAACTATGGAGTTTACAGGGATGCAAATGCTACAGGAAAATGTTGTGCATAAGTTGCTGAGAGGCTAAAGCTGGCTGTGACCTCAGCAGAGGTCTGCAGTAGACCCAGAATGTAGTGTGCGTCAGGAAGAAGGGAGACTCCAAGCAGGAGGTATTCCTTGGGTGACATTTCAGTTGGCCATCAGTCCTCTAAGGTAGTGGTTCCCAAACTCTCACAGATAGCACACCACTAATTTAAAATGATACAACCTTTAGTACCACCAGCAAATTTTTGGCATATAAAGTAATTATAATAAATCTGTTAACGTGTACCACTGACAAGTTGTCTGCATACCACTGGTGGTTCCTGTACCACAGATTGGGAACTGCTGCTCTAAGGGGAAATGCCTGTGAGTACGAGTCCCTGTAATAGATTCAGCTAGAAACTTGCCACTCACTGGATCCCTGAGCCTGCTGTTAGGCAGCTCAGCCTGCGTCTACACAAGATGCTGACTGTGCAGTTTTTACTGCACAGGCATTTAGTACTTGCATACCCAAGCATTTGCCTCTGGGTAGCAGTCCTTTCCAGCAGTTGGGCTTGTTCAGCTATCTCCCTTGGGGTGGGGGGGTGAGTCTCTCAAGCCTGATTGGTGCAGAAAAGGAATCCCAAGTCCTCCAATCATCTTTTACCCCTTCAAAACCCCTGGGCTAAATCATTACCAGATTGGTGAGGAAAGGGAATCCCAAGTCCTCCTATCATCTTTTTCCCTTTCAAAACCCCTGGGCTAGGTTGCTGCCAGCCAGCCCGTCACATCCTCCCCCGCAGAACCCTTCACCGTCCCCGGTGAAGCACAGGCCTCAGCTTGGGGGATTACTGGACCCAAGGGACAGCGATGGGGACCTCCCCCGGCACCCCCGGGACATCGTAGGTGAAGCGACGAACTGGCCAAAGCTCCCGCCTTGGTCATGGGGTGCGGTCTGGGGCAGGACTCCCTGAGGGCCCTGGCGGCTCAGGTTCCCTCTCACTGGAGGAGTCTGCCCCCCGGCAGGTCAAGGCGTGGGGATGTTTTCTCCTTTGGTCTCGCCAGACAGGGCCCCACGAGCAGCAGTCCCTGTCTCCCCTTCACCCTGAGGAATGGCAGGTCCTAAGCTCGGGTGAAAGTCAGCAGGGTACCACCAGTCAGAGTCTGAGCCCTCTGGGGGAGCTGCAGGTACAACTGCCGGCTGGGTGGCGCGAGACCTCCTTCTACAGGGAGACCTAGGCCTCTCTTCTCGCGGCTCTCTCTCGAGCGGAGGGGGCCCCACCAATTCACCAATAGGCAGCAGGAGGTTCCAGTGGACCACGCAACTTCAACCCGGTCCAGACTCAGGGGAGATTTCATATACTGGGAGGTCTCCCAGTTGTCGCACCACTGTATAGGGTTCAGCCCACTACCGATCAGCAATTTTGTGTCTCCCAGTTAGCCCCAGGTTTCGCAGCAGCACCCAGTCTCCTTCTAGTAACCCTTGCTCACGCATGCGAACATTATAAAGCCGCTTATGGCGTTGCTGGTTTCTTCCAGCAGTTTCGGCTGCCAGTCGGTACGCACGACGGAGATGGTCCCAAAGCTGTTGTGCATATTGACCATGAGTCAAATGTTGTTGGTAGACACGTTCTACCCCAAAGCACAAATCTATGCGTAACCAGGGCTCCCTCCCGAACATGAGGACTGACCTCCGTTGCATCATTCCTAGTGGAGTTGTAGGCATGCACCAGGTATGTGATATGCTGGCTCCATGAGGCCTTCTGTTTCTGCTGGAGGGTACCCAGCATATGCAAGACAGTGCAATTGAAGCGCTCAGGGTGGGGATCCCCTTAGGGGTGGTAGGGTGTAGTCCTTGATTTCTGTATGCCAGCCACTGTCAGTACTTCATGCAACAACCGGCTCTCAAAATCTCGCCCCTGATCGGAGTGGATTCTTGCGGGCAGCCCAAACACGGAGAAGTACTTTTCCCACAGGACTTTGGCAACTGTCCTTGCTGTTTGATCTCGTGTAGGGAAGTCCTAGGCATATTGGGTGAAGTGGTCTGTCACAACCAGCACATTCCCCTTTCGGTGCCCCTCCCCTTCTATGGCTAGGAAATCCATGCACACGAGCTCCATCGGTTTTGAGCTCTGGATGGTGTGTAGATAGGCAGGACTTGGGATTCCTTTTCCACACCAGTCAGGCCCCAGATACTCACCACCCCCCCCTTGTCTCAATTGGCCCCTTGGGTCGCCTGGAGGGGGATAAAAGGGGCAGCGTGGGCTGACTCAGGGGAGAGACCAGTGAGGGACAACAAGGAAGGAGCTTCATAGAGCTGGTTAGAGCTGAGCCAGCGGGGCAGGAGCAGTGCCCCGGAAGAGCCTGAAAGAGCAGGACCTGCAGGCAGCAGTGGGACCCTCAGCAGCGTGGTGTGTGGCCAGCAGGAGAGGCTCCCCACTGGGCTCCAGGATCCCCAAGGAGAGGCTGCAGCCAGCAGTAGAGGGTCCCCAGCTCCAGGAAGGATCTGAGCAGTGACCTGAGGGGTTCCCAGCCCTGCTTCCAGCTCCTCTAATCAGAGGTCAGGCAGCTTGATGTGAGGCCGGGCTCCAGGAAGGTCAAGACCCCTAGCAGGCTGGAGCAGGGCTACCCATGGTGGCTGTGTGGCAGTGTTCCTGCCTACCTCATGGGAGATCTAGGATCAAGTCCCAATTGAGGTGGCTTGGGGTGA